CAGCAACTTCATTTGCACGTTGTCCCTTCATTACAGCTTTGCAGCCCAATTGAGTTAATTACCTGGTGGCCCGACCGGGCCAGGGGCTCCCCGTGGTCCTGGCAAGCCAGCCATGATGGTGTCTATAACGGTAGAAGCCAGTTGAGGTTCTCCATCTGCGGTAAAGAGCAGAGCAATCAGTGTCCAGCTGCATAGTCCCAGCAGGCAGGATTTCACTCCCAAATCCTCTGGCGCCTGTTGCTGGTGAAGGACAGGCAGTGCTTAAGGATGCAAAATTCGGGTTGGGAAAGCAATTGCCCTGTGCTTTCCACCACTGTGGGCTGTGTCTCCTGGAACTGCAGAGCGGTGGACACCCTCAGATGCACTTCCTGCTTCACCCCCAAATAGGTGTATTTTCCATCCCAAACTGGTATTCCTCCACAGTCAAATAATCTACCTTTAAACCTCAAAGCAAATTAAGAGTAGCTCTGACTTTCACATCTAATTCACCTAAAATTTGCTATCAGGAACTTAAGGAAAAATTTCTTAACAGTGAAGGTGACAGAGCACTGGAACAGGCTGCCCAGAGAGGTTGTGGAGTCTCCTTCTCTGGAGATCTTCAAACCCACCTGGACGCAGCCCTGTGCCACGTGCTCTAGGTGACCCTGCATGTGCAGGGGGTTGGACTAGGTGACCTCTAGAGGTCCCTTCCAACCTTCATGATTCTATGATCTCCAAGACACAACTGGATTCTGGCTACCTGACAAGTCACACGGGCATTTGGAATCTGGACAAGTCACACAGGCATCACGGGCTCCCTGTATCTGCCACAAAGGAACTGCTGAGCAATGCTGGCAACCTGGCACCAACCAAAAGGCTCCCACTGCCACCAGGTTCAAGGACAAGGGAAAGCCCAGTGGAGAGGCTGTGTTCTGCTCCCTCCATTTTCCCAGGAAACTCTTTACTGCCTTTCAGGATTATTTTTGGACTTCAAATGGTCAGTTTGGGCAAGTTCACAGTGCTCTGGGGTACTAGTGGAGATGGGAACGGGGCAGGGAGAAGAAAGGCATCGGCAGGAACTGGAGGAATTTTGTGCTGTTGCACCTCTTCCTCAGCCCATTGCTGTTAGGGATAAAAATCACCAGCCTGTAACTGACCATATCTTTCTTCACCCTTGTAGCCATGGGCTTGCCACTTCAAATTGTAACTGAACAGAAAAAAACAGATCTATTTTTTTTAAAAAAAAAGAAAACAACCCTGCTTATTCATTGCTATTCCAAAACCAAAATCAACAACCCTGCTCCCTAGAGACCTATATTTTAGCATACTAGCAGTCTGTGGGTGGCAGCATCTTTCATTTGAGACTCCCAAGACACTATTTTACAGTTGCAGGAACCTGGAGGCCATCACGGAGGAAAAACATCCATCTTCTCCTGCCCATGATCTCAAATTTATTCTCCCCCACCCCTCACTCATCCCTTTAACTCATTATACTAAAATTTAGTGGTGTCCTTTGCAAGGTGTCAAGTGACACCAGGAGGATCAGAAGGGTGTTGCATACTCTGCAGGGGCACAGTCCTGCCCAAAGGGTACACCTTTAAATCTCCAGAAACGTTAGCAGATGCATTATGAAGCCTTTTCAACTTTAGGAGCATTGTCAGTGAGAGAAAGGGCTTTCAGGCTAGCTGTTTGAAAGCAGCTCCTAGGGAAAACTGTGAAATCTCTTTAACTGCCAGGCATGACAATATATCCCTGCAACGCCTTCCTGGCAGCAGAACAGTGTGAGATCTAGCCCAGATCCCCCTGAGAACCAAATTCCATTCCTAAAGCCTGAATGCAAACAGGTATTTCTTTGACAATTGTTTCCAGCTCTATCCATCTTCCCTTCTTCAGAGCCCTAAAATAAAACAACTGAGACTATTTTCATGTTCAGAAGGAAAGGTACCCAAGTGAAGTGTGTAATCCAATTAATTTGAGTTTTATTTGACCATGTCAAAATCCATCAAGGCTGGCGAGTGAGATGAAATCAGGAAATGAGCATCGAACAGCAGCGAAGGCATTAACAGTCACAGAGCCTTTTGTTTTTAAAGACCTCATGGTCAACAAAATCAAACAGACATCCAGTCACGGGGGAAGGAGGATTGCAAGCTATCAGGATTTAATTCTTGCTGGAGGGAAGATGGAGATAAAGATGTGGGTTATAGAAGATTCCAACCAAACATTGTTATGGTGACAGAGTTATTCCCTAGGAATCTACCCATCCTTACTTCAGGTCAATTTGACTCCAAGTAAATTGGAAAAGGTGATTCCATAACAGTGACACACACAAAAAAAAAGAGGTCTGCTCAATAGCCTTGGAGCTTAGAGGCTCCTGATTTGATCTCTGCAGCTCAGGAGTAGGCATTTGTAGGAGAGATGGAGTTGCTCCTTCTACAACTGCCTGGCCATGCAAAACTCATGGAGGTCAAAGCTTCTTTCCAGGCAGACTCTCAATGCAATGTACTAAGAACAGAGCTGGATAAAAGTGTGATAAAACTAACTTCCTTTTTTAAGGGCTTCTTCCATATTCCATAAAGCAGCAAATAGGACTCAAATGACCACTTTCCTCCTCCTTATAAACACGGGACTCTGGAACTGGAGCTGGAGGCTGTTGCAGGAGTCACAAATAGCTCCAGCATCAGTCAGTAGCAAATGGTCTTTATATGTCATTTGCAAATCTTTGGAATGCAAGAAAACAGAACCCTCAGTTGAGTGCAAGTTCTGGTCTTTTCTCCTTTTGCCCATAAAATATTTCTTAGCTTTAACAGGAGAAACAGAACCAAGTTGAAAGAGCACTTGAGACCACATACCTGATCCACTTATTTTTAAGCAGTAAGGAAAGCAAGCGATCCTTGCAGCAGCAGCCACGGCGGTGGGATAGGGCAGTTTAGCTTCTGGCCCACTTCTAATGTTTCTGACTAAGGGATAAATTCCCCCATTATAGGCTTGATTTGTTGAGACAGGATGGAAATGAAGTAATCCTGTCTTAATTTCTTTCTGCTACCTGATCTGGAGAGAGACCACTGGGGCCAATTTCTTTACCGCAGCATAGTGAAACTGTGAGAAAATAGTTGTCTCCTCATTTTTGGCTTCTGTCTGCCGATAAATATTGCCAACAGGAACTTGTTGCGATTAATAAAGGCAATTGCATTAACCATGTTCAGGCAGAACAAAATACTGCACTACTAATAATAATCTGATACAGCTTTCTTACATCTCTGTGGGTGCACATGCCCATTACCAGGAATATGCTTCCCTCTGCTGTCAGCAGCTGGAATCTTATGTTTATGGTTTTCAGATGTGTTCCATTAAAATAAATAAATAAATAAAAACCTATCTGGGATTTGCAAGGCTACACTTTATTGGTTGCTAAGGAATTCTACCAAGGCTTTGAGAAGGCAAAATTGATTGGCTTGCCTACCCACCACAGTCCACGGGAGAGGGCTGAGGTATTCCAGAAAGTATGAACTGGGGGTGGAAAAGAAAAAACTCTCAATTTTTTCAGATGTGACATTTAGGATAAAGCTGTCAGTGTTGGCAGAGGTTACGGCAGGTGCACAAAGGGACACATCCTGTGCTGTCTGCTACGTCCAAATACCGCTAAGTGAATATCATTCAAAAGTAACACTCAGATGTATTTAATCGGTCCTCTGCAATATAAAACACCAGGGAGTATAGAGCTTTCTGCTTCTTAAATGACCTTGATTATAAATCCAGGAGAGAGCTTAAGAGCGCAAACAGTCATGGCCAGACTCTGCAACAGCAATATTTTAATTCCACACAGGATTAGGCCTTAATTTTGAAACCTCTAGACTATATCAGTTCTCTAGCTCTTCCAAGAGTAGATAAATCAAGCCTTGTCAGCACACACCACTGAGACAGAGTCCTGGCAGCTCTCTCCGCATACCAAGAAATCCATCATAGACACGGAGGAACACGACAGGTCTGGCCCAGAGCTATAAAGCCACCATTTGCTCAGGGCCCCTGCATTTCTGTGCAGGCCGGTTGCTGCCCACTGGTGGCAGGGATAGTGCAGAGAAACCTCACGGATCTGCTGCCTGGTCTGGGAAAACACGGAGTTTACCCTTCCTAAAAAGGCTATTCAATGCATGCAGTGCCATTACGCACCTCTTGCTTCCTCCACTACCATGCCAGAAGCAGCTCAATTTGAAGGGTGGTTGGAGGGAGGGGGCAGTGGCAGTATCAAAATCATCCTTAAGAAGCCTTTGGAATAAAAAGCTGAATCAAGAGCAGTACCATCTAATATGAGCACTATTTGGGGTGATTCTGTGAGGTAGTGAAATGACTACAAGGGAAAACCTGGTTACAAGGCTCCTGAGTGCAGCAGCCCAGTCTGCATTTTGTTAAGAACTTGGGTATTGAACCACAATTAATGTAATCCTGCCCCTACACTCTAAATAATTGAGCACAGAGCACAGCTGTTAAAATTCTCCCAAATGTGGATGTATTTTTAATACATCCACTCCCTTTCAGGAAAAGCAGTCTGGAGAGGAGAGTGGGTAGAAGGAAAAGGAAAGCTCTAGAAAACTGCCAGACATGGGGAGATTTGCTAATCCTTAGTTGTAATTAATACAAGTCAGCTTTGAAGCAGGAGGTGAGCAGAGCAGCTGGGGGAAAGGCTGAGCTGTGCTGTTATTAGACATGAGCAACGGAATCGGAAGAAATCAGATCAAACCCAATTCTGAGAGCTCTCTGATCAGAAAGCACAATGTGCCTTTCCTAGGCAGCTTTTCCTTACCCTACAAAACACAGATCCAGTAAATAGATTTTTTTTTTTATCACTACAGGCTCAAAAAAAATCCTGTCCCTCTGACTAGAAGGAAGGGATAAATCACTGCCTTGGTTCAGGCTTTCAATCCTGCAGCTCTGTGCTATGCATGGACGCAAGAGAATGTTGCTATATCAAAAAACACAGGTGGGGAGATGTGTGTGGAGGGGCTGGAAAGCAAATGCGTTTAACAGCTGTCCACATTACGTTTTATAATGTCAGTGCTGCAAACCTGTGGTACTCATTCATTCCTAGGATGTAACACTGCACAAGCAGCCCCAGGAGATCTCACAGCAGCGTAGGTTCGTTGCGTCAGGATTTAACCAGTCACATATACTATACATCTCTGCCCATGTCTCACAGTGACACTGTCAGAGCCTTAATGCTTCATTAGGGACCCTCTTCACAGCAGCTACCCTGGTCTGCACGAAGCAAGCCTTCAGGAGGCCACAACACCTCCTCAAAGCTATGCCAAGCCTGGAAAACCAGGCACAAGGAACATAAATCCCTCCTCAAGCCCTATTTCCCACTGATGCTTCCTCATCTGTATGAAAGGTGTGCCTGCCCATTCTGCTGATGTACTAGAAAAAACTGGGAAGCAGAGGAGGAAACTTACTTTCTTTCTCAGCTGTAGGCTGCAGCGAGTAGAGGACCCCTTGTTGGAAGGTAAGAGGAAGGCTTGGGGTGGCTGGTGGTCCTGGAGGACCTGGGGGACCAGGGATCCCAGTTTCTCCTGGAAGTCCTCTTGGCCCTTGAGGTCCCAGCAGTCCTGTGCAGAAGCAGAAGAGGATCTTTCAATACATTTGGAGATGTACTAATGGATGACACCATGCTAAAAGCCAGGGAGAAGCCCATCAACTTCTGGAAAGCAGAGAGTTTGGAGAGAGATGTTTCCCCCAGGACAGAAGGAAAAACCTCCCTGAAAATTTAGCCAACATGGATAAATGTGGTGGAGATGGAAAACATGCAGAGAGAAACCATAGAGCAAAAGCAGCTTCTCAGTTCTTCCCAGTGTGGTCTCAGAATATCGATACTACAATATGCTTGCCCTATTAGGAGCAGAGGATTTCTGTCCTGAATTGGAACTGTGAGGAGTGGGGTCACAATTAACTATGGAAAATTGGGAAGCTGTTCCTATTTCCCTTTGGCTTCTTCCTCTGCAAAGCAGATGGCTTCACTTGGCTCAAAGGTGTTGTTAGGCTCAAAGAGTAAAATCAACCCCCTTCCCTGAAGCTGTCAGAAACTAAAGGCTGCAGGACTTGAAATCCAGTGCAGATCCTTCTCTTCCCTTCCACCTGCATGTCACCCAGCTGCTGGGAAAGCACAGAAAGAGCAGCAGAAACCTCGTCCAGGCACAGATCACTTCTACTTCCTTTGGAGCTGGAAGGCTCCCATTTCATCCTGAGGAACCAAAGGCAGACACATCCCTGGCCAGGCTTTAGCCATTGTTGGGTTGCCAGAAAATGCCAAGAAGTGTTCAGGACTGCTCTCATATTTAAGGCATGTTTCAAGTTTCTTTTTTTTTCCTGAGCTCAGACTTGTAAACACATAGAGAGCACACAGACTGAGGTCTGGCAGCTATTGTGTAGCACTAGCTCTATCAAAAGCTTCAGGAATATTTTCAGGATGTAGAAAATCTCCTAGCCCTAGAATGGATATAGTCTGAAACAGTCTTATAACCCTTTCACCTTGCTCTACAGCAGCATCATCTGTTTGACATGCTGCCATCTGACAGCTTGATGGAAACTGCAGCCCTTTCTTCCTCAGGTAGGGAAGAAGGGGAGTTAAGGCTGGCATAGCAGTGAGAGAGTTAAACAAGGATTGCTCTTCTCTGAGGGCTGACACATCAGGGACTATTTTTTACAGCTCCTAAACAGGATGGGGAAACATGATCTTGCTCTGCTGCTTTCTGGGAGAAGCTCTCCCCAGCTCCATGGGAAGTCCCAGGGAATATCGCTGCTCATGTAGCTGAGAGCCCAGCTCTGAGAGCCAGTGGTTCCTTCCAGTGCCCTGGGGACTAGCAGGAATAGATTCAGCGTGAACTGAAGATGTTCCATTTCTTGTGTGTTTTACAATCCTTTTGCACTGACAATTAGCACCAAGATCGCTGTTGTGCTGCCAAGGGGCTCCTCTGAGACTCACCTGGTGGGCCTGCCGGGCCCCTCTCGCCGGGTTGTCCCTTCTCGCCTTTCGGCCCTGGCGGTCCTGGGAGACCAGTCGGTCCAACTGGGCCTGGAGGCCCCACCTGTCCTGGCAGGCCTGCAAACACACATAATGTAAAGATCAGGGCTCAGGGATCTGCAGCTCCCACATTTGGATCCAGTTTGCACCCTACATGTGCAACAATCTGCCTGGGACACAACACCAAGTCCCCTGGGCCTTCATTCAAACTCTCTGCACTTTGCAGAGAAAAGCAATAATTACAAATATTAGATCACCCTAAATGATTACCCTTTCCTTCCTTCTTTTTGATCATTCTGGAGATATTTCCAAATTATTTCTTTTCTTACAAAAATGAGGTTATGTCCATCTCCAATCCATGAGAAAACTGAAAAACAGGTATTTCAAAGACTTCATGTGTATATGCGTGTGGGTGTACGTGTGTATACACCTTTGTTTAATTTGATCAGTACCTTTTTTAAAATTCTATCATCCATAAAGGTCTGGTTTGAGTATTGAACACTAAGCTAAGGTTTTCATTTGGAGCAATTTGCCTACCCCTGGGATACAAACTGCACATTTTCCTAGGAATCCTTTAATGGATTTGGGCTACGATCCCCTGGCCCATGCTGTGTTTGCAGCTCAGGCAGGTGAGCAGGAACCCATTGAGGAGAATGTCACCATTTGTTCAGAGCATCACGAACAGCTTCTCCCTCCTACCAAAAAGCCCACAACACACCTGGAGCTTTCTTGCAGCAAATCCTTTCCCGCAGAGAGAAGAACTGCAGAAATGCTGACTGTTTTGTAAGCACAACACATTGTGCTGCTGAGCACAGGTCAAAGCTTTTCCTCACTTGTATAAATCAGCCTCAGTCATCCACTCCAACCTTTATAACTCAATCCTGTAAACTTCTACAGACCAAAAGCAATCATTTTTGCTAGCATCTTCCATCAAGCTGCTGCAGTGGAGCTTTAAAGAAGCTGGCACTTACTTCCCTGAAGGTGGAAAGCGCTAACAGAAAGACTAGAAGATGCAGCACTGAGTAATGTGTCAGGCAAATGCTCATACTGGTGATAAACGGCGCTACCAACATAAAAGAGACAAGTGCAAAAGGGAAAAGGGAGAGAGAAGGATTCAGGTCAAATGGGGAAGAAAATGAATAGGCCAAATCTTCAACTGGCATAAATCAGCACTGCTGCAGTGACATTGCTTTCAAAGAACCAAAGCCCACGAAAGCACTCAGGCTCCAAAAATGTGAAAGAATAGACTATGGGAAAAATCAAAAAAGGTAGAGGGTGAATAGCCTACTGCCAGAGACTAAAACAGAACTCTGGATATTCTTTCTGGCCTTGTCATTCAGCTGCAGTGTAATCTCCGTTCCTCTTTCCTTCTCTATTTAGGGAAGCAGTTTCTTCTACTTCTTTATAAAAATATATATATTTTTTATTTTTTCTTCTTTATTTTTTCTCTATTTAGAGTGAAGCGTGTTAGTCTGTGTTTGAATGGAGCTTAGCAAGAGGATGCCCTGATCACCACCACAGCTCTCAGAGCCCCTGGCAGGTGATACCAGAAGGCAAGAGCAGTGTTTCTCCTGCTTGTTCTTGTTGCCTGCCCTTGGGCAGGGCTGTCAACCTGTTCTGCTGGGGCAACCAAATGTCTCAAACATGCTCAAACTGATGCTGATCAACCATGAGCAACTTATGAACCAATAATATCCCACGAAGAAACCCAGCCACTCTGTAGCTTACTTTTTTTGTGCAAGACCATGCACAAGACTGGGCATGGCAACATTTTGTACATTAAAAGAGGGAAATAGTAGATCATATTCACTTACTCTGTGGTATTAGCTGTTCCTCTGCACCTCTGCGTCCTTTGGGCTCTAATTTAGAGGGTCAAGGCAAAAAAAAAAAAAAAAGAAAAAGAAAAAGAAAAAGGAAAAGAAAGGGAGAGAGAGATGAAAAATTAGGTCTCTTGCTGCCAGCTGGCTCAGGCAGAACATATATATTTTCTTAATGCTCAGTAAAATGCATCCTGTTGATTAACAAGCTGATCAGAAAGGCCAGTAGTGCAGCTGTCTCAACAGCTCTGATTACTTTTAAATGATTGTCTATTCTCAGCACTGTCAGTCACTGAAGAAATAGCTACCCTAGAAACAGTAGCAAGTTTTCCTGGACCTCAGCCTGGAAAGGCAGCAGCCGGCTTTGAGCTATGCGGTCATTGGGAATCCCACCCGCCACTCACAGCATCGGGTCCCCATCGACCCTCCTGGTGTCAGGCACTGACATCCTGTCCCTGGTCCATCTGCCCTGGAAAGTCGGTGGTGTGCAAGCTGGGATTTTGGATTGGCTTTTGCTGGAAAAGCAAAAGCAGGACAAAGTAGGCAATGTTTCACAAAAAGCTCTGGGCAAGGGAATGGGAGGACCATAGGCATAGCTTTCAACAATCCCAAAACACACGAAACACTCCGTTTTGACTTTGACCTAACCTAGGGATACATCTGTTGAGAGATCTCCCAGGCTTGCCATCCCTTTAAGTCAACCTGGGCCGGCTTTGTGCAATAAATTAAAACGCTGTGTTGAAATCACACAAAAGGGGCACACATCCTAGACCAGCTGCCTCAAATTCCCTGCATTTCAGCAAAATCCGCAGTGCATTTTTTGGCTTGCTCTGAATTATAAATACAATTGACATGGGGAGGGAAGAGAGCCCAACAGGGATCCCACTGCGGGAAATATCCCTGCAGCACCTGAGCAAGGTGAGAGCTGGGTTTTGCAAAGCGCAGGGTGGCAGCAGCAGAGGGGATCACATAAACAACGTAGCTGATCACTTCTAGTTGCTGAAGGACACTGTCCTGAGCACACCTGATGTCTGTGTACTATGCTGCAGTTGCTATGCTGCACTGGGTTAAATAAACAAAGACTGGAGCAATAGAATGTAATGATGAGCGAGGACTACACGTGGCCTAAGTTTTTGAGAGGTGACCTCTAGCTGCCTCCTAGATTTACTGCTGGATGGAGGGCGCTGATATGGAATCACAGCCAGCCTGATGCAACCTCTATAGGAAAACAACTCTGCTTTGCAGCACTGTGTAGGAGAGGGGCAATTCCCCACTCCCTGCAGAGCATGGAGAGACTATCGTGGGAGGGAGCCTCAGGGAGGAGAAGATGGTTAAGTGGAAGGGACAGAGCCATCAGTGCTTTTGCTGGATTGACTTTAGTACAATGAAGCGCAGGTGCAGAGACACTGCAACAACAAAAAAAATAAATGACAGAGAAGGAGAAACGAGCATATAATGGACACTGGGGGAAACTGCTTCAATTCAGTTCCTGGCAGCCATCACTCTGGTTCTGAAAATGCTTTGCGGAACATATTGTTAGTGAATCTCCCTCCATGTTGTGGCATGCTGTCAAATTATAAACAGGGATGACATCTGGTCTATGTTGCTCCAAGTCTGCTGCAGTCAGGAAGGGCTGCCATAATAAACTACTCTGACCAAAAAAAAAAAAAAAAGCAGGCCCTATAGAGAATAAAAACTTCCCTGGGAGCTGGCAAAGCGACTGACAGACAGGACTTTGGAAACAGAGCAGGGATCTTGAAGTGAGAATGCTAAGGTCAAGGAAATTCAATGCATGGTAATCTGTCTAGCCAAGAAGCCTCAGAAGGAGCTTTCTCAAAAGTGTATTTTTTTTCATGCCACAAGAGGGATCATAAAACAGCCCATTGTGTTTATGGTAGATTTAAAAAATATAATGCACGGGGCAACTGATGTTCCTATTCATAGTGAAAAGGTTGCTCCTTACGAAGGCCAGGGTTACCCCTACCCCAACTCTCTGCTCCTTGCCAGGGAAACACTCTACCTGACTCCTATAGGTGAGTAGTAACTGCCCTTCTGTGACTGCCGTGGCTCTCTCAAGCTTCTTCAGGAATGCCTCAATATGTCTGTGCCTGAAAATCCAGTCTTGGGACATGCACACTGAAGGACACAGCAGGTATGAGGGCAATGGAAATCTCACTTTGTTGAGATCAGAATTCAGTTCTTGGTCCATTCTTGTGCTAGCAGAGATAGGGGTTAGGGTCAGACCCTTAAGACTGGCAAAATGGAGCCTAAAACACTATGTTTAAAGCTGAGCTGAAGCATAGCTGCTCTGTGCTTGCTGAGCCAGAGAAAGGGGTAGAGGCCTGAGGAGGAAAGCAGGAGGTTACTCTGTTCCCACAGGGATGATTCTCACTGCCATGAGGAAATCGTGTCCAGCTCCCTGTGGCTAAACCGATGGCTTGAGGTGGGATTGGCGAGGATTAAGTTCCCTCTTTGTCCACGAATCTGCATGCATGTTGGCAGTCACTGTCATGCTCACAGCTCAGCAGAGAGGGAGGGACATGAGGTGACATTGAGACCTGAGATTGAACAGTCTGGTTTGGAAAAATAAGGCCATAAAGCTAATTAGTGCTGGTTCTGCCCCAAAACAGAGTCTTAGAGTCCTCAGAATGTCTCCTTGCAGGGTGGTTTTCACTCCAAAGAGAGATTGCCCACCTGAAAATAAAGCTAATTAGTGCTGGTTCTGCCCCCAAAACAGAGTCTCAGGGTCCTCAGAATGTCTCTCTGCAGGGTGGTTTTCACCCAAAGAGAGATTGCCCACCTGAAAGTCTTCACCCTCTTCTCCTTGATTGACTAGGCAGCATTTCCCACAGACCCCTCTGCCACGACTGGGCCTCTCGCTTAGCTGCCCTGCAGGGACAGCGCTGAGGCCGGGCGGGAGGTTTTCCTTACCAACAGATCCCCCTGCTTTCCGCAACACAGTGTCAGGGTTGAGCAGAGGGAAGGCATCGGGCAGCAAATCGTCATACCACGTGGCCGTGGTTCCAGTGATCGGCAAGTTGTTTTCCAAAGGTGGGCTTTGCTCCGCCGCTTCCAGTAGAAGAATCTAGATAGGAAAGGGAGGAAGGGAAACAGTAAGCAGGATGGCTCTATGTGGGAGCTCACTTCAGAGAGATGCTGAGGTTTGGGGACTCTTCACCTTGCCAACAGGAGCTGTGGATAACCACACATCACAGGTGGCAGCTTTTTGGTATTAAAGCACCTGGGGCTTTCTAGCAGCTGGCAGGAATCAGGGTAAGAAGCTGCTATTATCAATGCCTCAAGCTTCCCATCTGAAGCTGCACATCCTCCTTAGTGGGTGCTGTGCTACTTGTGGAGATGCTCAGTATTGCACAGGATCCTCTCCTTGGGGAGAAAA